GGGGGAGCCGGGGCCTGCCAAAGGCTTTGTGGGTGCGAGGCTGGTCCGTTGGAATGCTGCGTGGAAGTGGCTGGTTTGGTGTGGTTAGAGTGGGAACTGTCCCTTGTGGGTTATTTTCGATAGACTAAGCCAGTATTTGTGCATTAACATATAAATAAATGTATAGAAAGTATTGAAAGTATCGATACATTAATGCGTTTTGTGGCAGATTTTGTGTTTGTTTAAAGTAGAAGCTTGTTTGTTTTAACTAGGTATGGATGGCAGAGCAGAAAATATCATATGATAAGAAGAAACAAGAAGAATTAATGCAACAGTACCTGAAAGAACAGGAATCCTATGATAATAGGTGAGAGTTGGCCTAAGCTCACACGCTGCTTCCTGCTGTCTCTGGTTTTTGTGGCAGTGAAGGACATGGCGAGTTATTTGGGATACTGTCTCCCATTGCCCGCAGTAGTGGGAGAGGACAGCGACTCAGAAATCGGCATCTGATTAAGCAGAGGTCGCAAGAACTTCTTTAAAGTGGCTTGTATGTGTGTCTTCTAATTCATTTCAAAATACGTTACTTTGCACAGGCAGCAGGTGACCTTATATATGATATACTTGAATTGCACAGAAATCCGTGTCTCATAATTCTGTGGACACAGAGTTATGTTTCAGTTGTGATTGAAGTCTATGATTTGTGGTATGCAATGGAGCATGCAAAAGTGTTCACTGGTCCCTTGTTTTTTTCGATACTTTGCACTTGTTAATTTGAGTAATAAATCACCAGTTATTTTAACTATGTGACCGTTTTGTGTGTAACACCCCAAACTCTGTCCTTTTTATTTAGGTTGCTTATGGGTGATGAGCGTGTGAAGAATGGCCTTAATTTCATGTATGAGGCCCCACCTGGAGCAAAGAAAGGTACTGCGGTTTCCTGATCGTGAGCAGACAGTGCTGCAAAGCAAAAAACCCTCTGAAGAGATGAACACAGTGTCTTTTATTTTAAAATAACATGTTCATAGTGAGGTAATGCTAGAAGGGTATGATTTTTAGATTTTGCTATGGGAATATGCAGAGATAGATAGTATGTAATAATTTTGATCTCACTAAATTTTAATTTCTTTCAAACTGAGAATGGTTGGGGGTTTTTTTAAGGAACGGTTCAGTGTGAAGAGAAACTACAGATAAAATATCTTTCCTGGCAACAACAGAAACTCTGGCCTTGACCAAAGGTGTTTCTTTAGCCCATTATAAAGAATGAGGGCTAGACCTCACCAAGGCAATGACTCAGACAGCACAAACCTGTGTTTTGACCTTTTTAAAAATAGCAGGGTCACTTTTGCTTAAAAGTTCTGCCCGTAATTCAGCTTGACGCATGTCAAGTGTAAGAAATATCAAAGCAAGAAGTGGAATACTGGAAGTTTTACAAGTAACAAATACTGAGATTCTGTAGTCAGAAGTGCTGGCTGACCTGACTCTGGTGGATCTGACTGTGACTGCATTTAGTAGATTCCTAAATGGAAGTTGCCAAGTACCTGGTAGATGCTCATATCAGTCACTTAATTTTAGCAAAATCTGGATGTAAGTGCAGAACTAAGAAAACGTATTCCCTGTAAAATAAAACATGTTCGCTTTAAAATGTGTCTTTCCTGTTTGTGCAGAAACCCTTGGAAATGCTTGGATAGGCTCGTTCTTGTAAAGCAAACTTCGCAATTATTTAAGTGATTAAGAGCTTTTAAGCTTAGAGCAAATGCAGTTTTAAACTGGTGACTTTTGCTGAAAAATCTTTTTTTTTTAGATTATAAAATGAAGTATTGTTGCTACTTTTGCAAAAAAAGTTTATAATTTTTTGTATTTGTGTATCAAATCAATATCGTTTTATAAAATTATTCCATTACAGGATTTGTAACCATATACTAGAGGCTGGTTATTTATATGTGTGCTCTATTTAAGTAATGTTACTTTCTGAGTGTTTGCACTATTGTGTTAGTATCAGCCATAAAATGTTTTGTCTTCAGCTTAGAGACCGGCTGAATTTTACATGTATAATTAATGTGTCCTTTCTTTTCTTTCCATGATTTCTGAAAATTTGAAGAGGAAACTAAAGAGGTATTTCATTACACCATTTCTGTATGTTTTCTTCCTTCTTACTTAAAATGTATTAAAAAAAAAATCAAACTTACCATGTTTTCTGTTTTATAGCAAAAATGAGAGACTGAATACAAATTTGAATGGCAAAAATTTTTTATTCCCTCCCTTCTTTTTGAGCAGGTCATTTGTGTAATCCTGTCATGTCCTGGCAGTTAATTAGTAAAACCTATAAACCTGGAACTGTTTCCTTGATCAACTTAGTTTTTGTCTGAATTTTACATCCATATTTTACAACACGTTAAAACTAATGTTTACTGGAAGTATATCTCTGAAATGTATACGCACTTCACGATGAAAGGTAGTTTTGTATGTGATGGTTTTAAAAAAAATAGTGGATTGAGTCTTTTCTTTCCTTTGTGTTTGTGTGACAGATATGCTAAGGATGATATGAATATCAGAGATCAGCCATTTGGTATCCAGGCAAGTTACATAAATTTCACTCTGTGGATGTCTTGGGTATATTTCAAATATTATCTAACTGCAGAACATTCACATGGACTCTCTTAATTTTATCGTCTGTTTCTCAGTGAGTTTAAAAGCTTCTCTTATGCCTAATAACATAGACATTTCTGTAAATGGTAAACTGTATTGTTAACGAAATTATGTCAATTTTTTTTTTTTCCTTTTAGGTGCGGAATGTGAGGTGTATTAAATGCCACAAGTGGGGCCATGTAAACACTGATCGAGAATGTCCCTTGTTTGGCCTTTCAGGAATTAACGCCAGTTCAGTCTCCAGCGATGGTTCAGGTAGGCAGTGAATGCCTTTTAAAGGTGCTGGTTAGGAGTTTTGGGGGAACTCATCAGTTTTAGTTTTAGAAGGTTTAAGTTCATCATATTTCAAAAAGTTGGTGAAATGGGGAAAATGCTTCTTTATTCCAAATGTAGGATCCACTATGTCAAGTTAATTATTTCAAATGACGGGGACCTAATTTTCTAATTGGTAACAAATTTTAAAAAGATACCATAATGACTGTTGCTTTGATTCTATCTGTGGCAAAAATTCAGAAGCTGCATTGAGATTGTTTATACCAGAATGACAGTATTTGTGTCACCAAAAAAAAATTAATGTAATAGATTGTTGAAGACTGTCGCAGTTCAGATTCAGGCAAATTGCTTGGAAAAGCTGGAATATATCAGTATATCTTTGTCGATCACTTGGAAAAAAGGAGAGGTTTGGGGTTTTTTATGTATGTAGTTGTGCTTCTGTAAGTGGACAAGCAATTGAAACCTAGATATCCAAATGCCTGGTTTCCTTTCAGCTGGCTGCTTGTTGCTTCCTGAACTTTTTTTCCTCTATTAGCTTCCCTGTTACTTGAAGTCACACAGCATTTTTGTTGGATGAGGTTTAAAGAAGCGAATATAAACATTCAAGTTGAATATTTTTTTGCCTACAATACTTTGTTTTCAGTAAGTTGAGCCAAGTTTGTAACACTTTTAATATCCTTAAAAATGTGGCACGTTAAAGAAACACCTGGTAACACGGGTGAGTCTTCAGACGTGCGGTGCTGCGCTTTAAGATCATGTGCCGTGCTGTGTATTCAGTTTTGCGGGGATACCGTTACAGCTGCCCATGATAACCTGAGGAAAGATAGAAGAAAACCAGGTGTTATCTATTTTATGTAGTAGCCCTTAGTTTTATTACATATTTAGCCTACCAACAATCTTGCTTTTCGGAATTAGATCACCTAGATATATCATTTCTATGAGATGAGTCCTGGAAGACAAGTTAAAGGAAAATAGTGCCTCTTGCACTCCTCTGCTTTTAAGCACTGTCTAATGATTATACCATTGTATTAGCCATCCCGTGGTTGACACTCTCAGCCTTTCTGTTCAGTGGGTTATAACATTAAATCATTTTCTTGCCTGAGAAGAAATTGTACTTGCAGTATTTGGTGGTGGTAGAATTATATTATGCAGCTCTTATATGTCAGGTACGCTTCTGTGCTGCAGAACTCGCTTTCCCCTGCCCCCAGTTCAAATAATGTGGGTAAATTTTAGGAGTTTGCCTGGGAAAGCAGAAAGTATTTGTACATGCTTGCACAAACATGAAAACGGACTGCTCGTTATTCGTAAGCGTGTAATGCAGACACTTTGCAGTGTCAATATGAGCCTAAATGCTTGTTTCAAACCCGAGTGAACGGACTATCTCGGTGTAGGCAATGTTTGACTACAATGGGTGTTTCCTAGTCACAGAGATGTTCTCCGGGTAGCTTTCCAAACCGTCTTTCTAAGCTTGAAGAGAGGGATTCAGCACATACAGTGAATTTTTGCACAAAGGAAAGTGCTATAAAACTACTTGGATGTTTTCAGACTATGCCAGTGCCCTCTCATTTTCAACTCTGGAATTTAGAAGACAGCGTGCCATGCTGAGCATAGACTTTTATAGGCCGAGGAAGAATGTCAGGGAGTAGGGGTGGGCGACAGATCAGGGTTTGTATATATAATTTGTAAAATGCTGTTCCTGGATTTGAATAGTCAGCTGTAATGATACTGCTACTTGCTCTTTCTTTCAGGGAAACTATATGTAAAAACACTGTAGGTAAAGTTTAAAATAATTTTAAGTTCTTGATTAGGTAGCAGATATAAGGCTTATAGGAGGCGGTAATATCATTAATTAGATCATCAGATAAAAGGTTGTCTGCTTTTTCTAACCTCAGGAATAGAATCCTTTCATCAACTTTTCTAAAATTTCGTCTGATTTAATAACAAGCTAAATTACGCTCCTTTAACAACTTCTGGAAGTTCCATATATGTAAATGAAGCACTACAGTTAAGTAAGGATACAAGTTATTGAATTCACTGATTCTCTTAAGACTCATAATTCATCCATGTGATGTGTTTAAGCTTACATAGCATGTTAAAAAAAAAAATTTTTTTTTTTTTTTTTTAACAATGCTGGCACCAGTGCTGTGTTGTCTGGGATGGGAGTAAGTAGCTGTCTTTGCATTGCTGGGAGTGCCACGCAGTTGTTACAGTGGTGCAGATCTGCAATTAGCTCTGTAAAATTAACCTACACTGAGGGTAAAACAGTGTTTAACATTTTCTAGCGAGACACCGCGACATTAAAAACAAATTCTGTCATGTTCTGATCAACACCCCCCAGCAATATAATCTTATCTTGACCATTTCTCTTCACTGCTCTTTGTTTCCTCTCATTACTGCTGCTTAATGCTTTGATACTAGCCCTAATGCTGAATTGGTATCCACCTCTAAGAACCTTCTGTTCCTCTGTACAACAGATCTCCTCAAGCTCTGCGTCTTCTTGCTTTGCTTTATTAGTAATTGCATGCACTCCTAAGCTGCTTTTATGTCTCTAGACTAAATTTCTAATTATTTTCTGATTATTTTATCGTACTGCAAAAATGTCCGTTGTCACACTGTTCTTATTTAGATTGGCTAAAACTGCAGAAAATACTGCTTTGTGAGGGACCGAGACTTTTTATAGTACCATCTTTTGTGAAGACTTTATGTTTCACAAACTGATGATTAGGTTTTAAAAAAAGCCAAAAGCACTTGATTTGCTCCACACGCACCCCCTGCCATTTGTCACAAACAAGCGTCTCCTCATGCTTAGAAAACTGGTAAGCAAACCCATGTAAATAGTCCAGAGTTTTCATTTATTGTGATTGTCAGCACCAAAAAAAGAGTAAGTACAAAACCACTTGGCTTCTAAGGTCTGAACTTCAAAGAACAATTTTCAGAAGCTGTCTGTTCGTTTCTAGAATGTAGAAGAAAGCAGGCACCTCTGAGGAGAGCAGTGAATAGGGAGTGATTGCTTAGAGTATACGGCACATCTGGAATGTGTATTTAATTGATTTTACGGGTTCTTTTAATAGATAAATGTGTAAAATCTGCAACCAGCTCTCAAGAAAGACTTACAAAATGTTGGGCTAAATTATTAGAGCTGATAATACTTTTAAAGGTTAGGAAGTAATCCTATATGTAGAAAGTCATCTTTGAAATCTTGTTCCTAGCTTGTGTGTCAGGAAATTGTAATACAAATATTATCTCATAAATGAAAGGGTACATCTGAGAAATACAGCTATAATAAGGAATAAAGGTGAAATCAGAATAAAATTTTAGTACAGTAGTCAATATACCAGGACTCCAATTAGTTTATGAAATTAATTGTATTAGAAGGACCAGAAGTAGGCTAGAAGTCATTGAAGTCATTGAAGCTTTCTTTAAAATAAAGAGCAAATCTTTGGAAATTTTTAATAAGGTCTTTGAAAAGATTTCTATTAGTAGCACTTTATTTCCTGTCATTTGTAGTCTTTGAATCCTAATAAAAGATGATCTCGCATCCTTTTCTTGCAAACTGAACTGAATAACTTTTTTCTAGGCAGTGTGTGGTGGTTACACCGCCTAAAGCTAGGTTAGAGTTCTTCAACCTTTGAGAATACGCTCCGTCGTTAGAGCGTGCCCTGCACCAGCAGAGTGCTGGACACCGCTGGTCCGTGTACTGCACCGCATCCTGGCTGGTGCCGAATCTCTAAGCAATCGGTGCTGGGGAACGCTTGGCCTCGTGATTCTGAGTCTGATGTTCTGAGGATGTTGGCGTCGGTGATTTCTGCAGAAGTAGCTTTTAAGAAAGGGTCTGACGTCCCTGTAGGAGACTTTGAACAGGCCTTGTTCTTCCGAACCTTGTTGTTCTTCTGCTGTAGAGAAGCACGCTTGACACACAGGAAACGGATGACTTGGATTTGTTTGCTGCTGTCTTCGTGCATTGACCCAAATGTGTTTCTGTCCGCAGAACAGTAATGGTAGAAACGTCGGATGCTCTGCTCTAAAGGACTTAAACATCTCGTACGTACAAGTTTAGGAACCACAGGAGCAGTTTATTATATATTAATTAGACTCATGACTGAATTCCATCATGTGATAGCTTTGAAGTCTTTAAAAGCCACTGGTGTGGAAGGGTGACTGCTCTCGGGAACGTTACTGAACAGAGTTAATTAACCTGGAATGGGAACAGAGTGGTTTAGCCCAGGTAGGCAGCTCAGCCCCTCACGGCCCCTTGCTCACTCCCCACCTGTGCGATGGGGGAGAGAATCGGAAGGGTGAAAGTGAGAAAACTCGTGGGTTGAGATAAAGACGGTTTAATAAGTAAAGCAGAAGCTGTGTGCACAAGCAAAGCAAAATAAGGATTCATTCACTGCTTCCCGTCAGCAGGCAGATGTTCAGCCATCTCCAGGAGAGCGGGTCTTCATCATGCGTGATGGTAGCTTGGGAAGACAAACTCCCTAGCTCCGAACATCCGCCTTCCTCCTTCCCCAGCTTTCGTTGCTGAGCACAACGTCGCATGCTCTGGAACATCCCCTGGGTCAGCTGGCTGTCCAGCCGTGTCCCCTCCCAGCTCCTCCTGCACTCCCATCCCGCTCGCTGGCAGAGCAGCCTGAGAAGCAGAGAAGGCCTTGGTGCCGTGCAAGCACTGCTCAGCAAGAGCTAAAACGTCCCTCTGGTGTCAACGCTCATTTGGTCACAAACCCAAAGCGTAGCCCCATACAATCTACTGTGAAGACAAGTAACTCTATCCCAGCCAAAACCAGTACAAACAGTGCTAGGTACAGTATTGCTAACAAATCTTTATGCGTGTATAAAGAATTGGCACTTACCTAATTAGAGGGGCATTTTCATCTTTCTCCTTGATCGAAAGCAAAAGCTTTTCACAGAAAACAAGGGTGAAAATGTTGTTTTATGAGGATAACCAAATTACTGAGTTAAAAACCGCAAGAGTCGCATTTCCC